GCCCACAGAAGAGTATATGTTGCCAAGGGACCTAGTGCGTATAAAAGTTTATTATGCTGTTTTCCCTCCTTCATGCTTTCTGTCTTTAGTTCTGCTTATGCTGTCACTGAGGCTGAATCCACTACTGACTGTGAAATACAGTAATTGTGAATCTCTGCATTCGTAATTTCCAGGAGGACAGACAATGGAATCTCCTTTTCTAGGATCAGTCTCTTCAGACAAACAGGTCCTTTCCAAGCATTGGGAGTATGGCAGTTTACACTAGCATAGGTCCATTTGGCCCACTCAGTTCCCACAGCAGACATGGTTGACAGACTGCGAAGGTCACATACAGCTCAACTACAGACTTCCCAAATGGATTTTCCAAATCTTGCCTTTGCTTGTCCTACTTTGACATTGTTTAGTTTTTGCTATGTTTGGGGTCCTGCATTCCCTGAGGGTAGAACAAGGCTTTTGTCCGGCTTAAAAAAAAAAAAAAGCTGGGGGGGTGGGGAGAGAGAGAATGAACTGCTTGTGATTCTTATGGCACTACAATTAAACCAACTATTGCTGCTCTCAAAAATAGAGGGGTGTTGGGGAAAACTCTTCAATATCTACTACTTAGACAAAGAAAGAACTAACTTTCTTGGTATGGAATGTATTCTGAAATTATTCTTTTATAAAATATTCCTTATTGTTTGTCTGTACCTTTGACTATGCAAAGTAGATCAGTGGTACGCAGGTGTCACAGGTATGTTTCTAAAGCAAATGCTCGTGCATGTTTATGGTGAAACTTGATATATTCCCTGCAGCCAGATAATTAGTCTTCAAGGCTGAAGTATGCTGCTGAACGTGTGGAGGAGTGACAGGACTTTCAGAAGAACATGTTTGATATGCAGTGTGTAAGCTTGTGTATATACAACAGAGGTTCTAGTGCTTGCTGCTACACTGGCAAATCTGTGTGTGGACAGACTGTCATCAGGCACTGGAAGTTTTTCTTGCACAGTTTCACCACTTCTGTGTGTTTCATAAACTAAGGGTGCTAATGGATGAGTGCTGATAAATCTTGCTGGGAGCTGAAGATGTTACTGCCACATTCTTTCTTATGGTCTGTTTTTGGCATTTTCAGTATCGGGCACTAGAGTTTTGAACAGGTCATTTAGTACATCATGCGTGAGTATTGGCAATGAAGAAGCTGGGGCACTTTTCTGGTGGTGAGCTGAGAAGCTTTGGCAGAGGGCTTGAGCAAGCATCTTCGAGAGATGGGGACTTAAGTTATTGTAGCAAGACTTGCAAGAGTTTGTCTAGTAGTACCTTAAGCTGACAAAGTCTTTTTTTGTGAGCTTAGCTAAAGTGAGTTGCAAGTCGTGTCAGAGAATATACACCTTTTCTGTGTAAGAGACGATTTGACATACTGGCTGGAAACCAGTGGATCCCCCTTGGTTCGTTAACTTATTTTTGATTTATGGATGTTACAGCATGCCGAGTTATGTGGCTTCAGGTATCTTGTGATACCACATTGAGTTAAAATATTTTGTGTCAGACTTTGTTGCTGGGAAATAACTGGATGTGATGACTGCCCCAGTTGACTAACCATATAGGGGAACAGCTGGTGGTACTGTTCACAACTGCTGCTTGTTCACAATTAAGGAGCAGTTCTGTGTAAGGTACAAAGGTTCAGAGCAGTTAAAGCCAAGAGGTGCATGTGTAGACAAGTGCAGTTTGTAAATTCTGGACATTAAAAGTATACATCTAAAAAAAGGACAAAGATACAGGTTGCATCAGGTGGTATTTACATTAGAGTAAAGTGAATCTGCTGCACATCATCTAGTACTTAATTTTTAGTAAGTAGTATTGGTTGTATCCGTGTGAAATATTACAGCTCTACAAGATTCATGTGACAAATACACTGGATGCAGCAGGTTAATTTCTTGAAATGGCCTGGAGTGTTCCTTCTCAGGTGGTTCATGAATCTCTCCTGAATGGTGCTGTTCTCTTCTTATCCAACTACCTGCTTGGACAGGAGCAGGGAAAGTGGCATTTGAAAGTCCATGCCACAACTCAGTGAGTGGAGACGGTAAGTCAAGCCAGAAGTCCCCTGTATGCCTTTCACTGGAAAGGTACATGCTTGCTGGTGCCATGAATGTAATTCCTATCCTCTCCTGTGATGTCCAGTTTGAATGAAGGTTTTCTTATTTTCTGAGAGAAGAAAGAGGAGGAAGAGAAATAGTGTAAGAGTAGAGTATTGGAAGTAGGCTGCAAGCTGGAAGTCTTGGATGGTCTGTCAGGGCAGCAAAAGTTTTGGACCCCCTATCTTGATCTCTGGAGATCCCATGTTTTTGATGGTAGGCTTTGGGAAGAGAGTAGGGAGAGGAAGCAATACATGGTGAAGTTTGAAGTGGCATTGATGGGGATGCAAATGCCAATGTTATGGCAGAAACTGTAGAAACAAGGCAATTCCATGTTAGGAGCAATGCAAGAGGGACAGCATAACCTCCAGTTGCTAAGTATGTAAATGAACCTTTTTCACAAAGCTTTTTGAGATTAGAATACAGTCTGACAGAAGGGAACTCTGCCCTACCTCCACGTGTATGCAGGTGCCTATTTAAAACTCTCTTGTTAAGAGGGAATGAAGTATAAGTTTTCAGGTTGTAACCTGCTGTTTCTGAAATGATCAAACTTTGTGTCGCTATGGTTTCAACCATCAACTCCTTGCTTCTTGTACCCCTTCTCCTCTAAAAAGTGAATTCCTTTAGTGTTCAGATCCTTTGGCACTATAACATTAATAGATCTGTACCCTTGTGTTGGTCTTCCTACCCCTTTCTCCCTCCTATTGCAGTCTTCCCAACTTTGTATGACAGCTATTCATCAAGTCAATGTTACTGAGCTCCTGAGCTAATAAGCCTACAGTAGTAGAAAAGAGGTAGGCTGAGATAAAAACCCAGATCATAGAATCATATAGAATGGTTTGGGTTGGAAGGCAACTTAAAGATCATCTAGTTCCAACCCCCCTGCCATGGGCAGGGACACCTTCCACTAGACCAGGTTGCTCAAAGCCCCATCCAACCTGGCCTCGAACACTTCCAGGGATGGGGCAGCCACAGCTTTTCTGGGCAACCTGTTCAGTGCCTCACCACTCTCAGTGAAGAATTTCTTCATTTGCATCTAATCTAAATCTACTTTCTTTCAGTTTAAAGCTGTTACCTCTTGTCCTATCACTACACACCCTTGTGAAAAGTCCTTTTCCAGCTTTCTTGTAGGCTCCCTCTAGGTACTGGAAGGCTACTATAGGGTCTCCCTGGAGCCTTTTCTTCTCCAGGCTGAATAACCCTAACTGTCTTGGCCTGTCTTCATAGGAGAGGTGCTCCAGCCCACTGATCATCTTTGTGGCCCTCGTCTGGACTCGCTCCAACAGGTCCATGTCCTTCTCATGTTGGGGGCCCCAGAGCTGAATGCAGTACTCCAGGCAGGGTCTCACCGGAGCGGAGTAGATGGTTCGTTGTGAGTTGAAGCTAACAAGCCTTTGATGTGGCTGAACTGATGCTCTGCATTTGGTTTGGGTGTCTGCAGTGAGCTTCCTAGTGTGTCTGTAATACTTCTCTGATCTTTTTCTCTGTTATCTGTAGCACCCTGTTAGCTAGGATGATAGGAAGTTGTCTACACAGAGCTTCTGCTATTATACTCTTCCTGCTAGGAGGCTGCTGATAGTGAAAACAGTGACTCCCAAGCACATTGGGAACTGTCAGCTCTTATAAGGTTGTGAATAGGAGGACATTGCTCCCCATCTTAAAAACCATATTTTTCCTATGTCTGTTCTGTGGTCATGTGCTACTGTTACATAAATACACAAAGCTTCAGCAAATTACTTTTTATTATTAGTGACTATAACTATCTGGCAACCTTAACATATGCAGCACAAATGTATGTCAGACAAAATATTAAGTCACAAATTCTGATACAAGAAATAAAATGTTTGCCATTGTGTTAGCGTTGGTGTTCAGTAAACTGCCCATTGGCTGGAAGCAAGTTTTTAAGCATTTTACAGGTGTGTCAGAATTGGGGGGGGGGGGGGGGGGGGGGGAGAAAAAAAA